CGACAACTCATGGTTTTATCCATCTTCTTTGGTCATGCTTTCAGCAGAAACTATAGACAAAAAAACAGAAACCAAATTCCAGTGGTCGACTACATTGGGGGAAGGGGAAAATTGTGTGAATTAACCTACATTATATGGCCAAAAGTATGAGGACGTCTGTCTGTTACACCTATATGAGCTTGTCAGACATCCCTTTCCAAAACCATGGGCAGTAATACGTAATTGCCCCCCTACTCTTTGTAGATAACAGCCACCACTCTTCTGGGAAGGCTTTTCACAAGATATTGGAGTGTGTCTGTGGGAATCTGTGCCCATTCAGTCAAAAGTGCTTTACACCACTCCAACTGATGCTTGATGTTGGACATAGTGATCTTAGGCTTGTGTGCAGCTTTTCAGTTCCCACTGTTCTTGTGCTGATGTTGCTTCCAGAGGCAGTTTAGAACTCTGTACTGATTGATGCAACAGAGGATAGGCATTTTTGGTATGCGTGTCAGCATTCAGCAGCCCCGCTGTGAGTTTGAGTGATTTATTGCTTCATGGCTGAGCTACTGTTACTACTAGACAATTCCATTTCACAGTAATAGCACTTACTGTTGACTGGGGCAGATCTAGTAGGGCAGAAATTTCAAAGACTGACTTGAGACAGAGGTGTCGTCCTATGACAGTGCCACTTTTAAAGTCACTGAGCTCTTCAGCGCGACCCATTTTACTGCCAATATCTGTGGAGGTTGTTCAGGTATGTGCTGGACTTTATACACCGGTTACCGATTAGTGTGGCTGAAACATCTGAACCCAGTAATTAGGAGGGGTATCAACATGATTTTGACCAGTGTTTTTGCAAGTTAGCTGCTCTGTGAGCTACATTTACTCATAAAATCCTTCTCTGCATTTCTGCCCTTTGCTCAGCTCCTCTCTGCTCCATCTCTGTTTTATTAGATGATTTGCAGATGTTGATCATCAAGTATTCTTCTCTCTTTCTCTTCATCTCCTTCTCTCTCTCTCTCTCTCTCTCTCTCTCTCTCTCTCTCTCTCTCTGGGCCTTCGGGTCACGTTCAGGGAGGCCTTGAAATGCCAGTCTCCATCCACGGCTGGGCCTCCGCTGCCTGACAAGCCGTCCTTGGAGGAGGGAGCCGCACGCCTTTAGCGTCTTTATATATGGCAAAGTGACTTTGGGAGCAGTGTAGATCCAGCAGCAGGCTTCATCTTTGCTAGGACAAGACGGCATCATTCATGCTGGAATAAAGCTTAGAGTAATGGCATATTCTAAGTAAAGTTATGCTGTGAATGTGCTCGCGGATGCTGTCTGTCCTCATCTAGCCCACGGCAGTTGTTATGGTCTGTCTTGCTCGGCTGGAAAAGGCCTAAATGTACTTTCTTCTAGCCTCTCAAGAATACAAAGCAATCTGCGCCTCCAATGCTCACAAAGCCTCCCAGAAGAATTCTGTTTATTCCAAAACATTTTAAGCAATAAAAGTGTTTCGAGGCAGCGGGGAGGAGATTTGGTATTTCATGAAAGCTCCGTCCCAAATCACATTTGGTGAATGGATTTCCCTTTATGGAGAGGATGTAACTCTAAATAGTGTGTTAGGAATTGGCGAGGGTCTTACCGTGGCTTTGTGGGCTGCTGCGTGGATTGAACAGAATTAGGGTTAGGCTCACGCTGTGCGGATTGAACACAAATAGGGTTTTGCAGAAATGTTTTGGAAAAGTTATTATTCTTGGTCAAAGATTGCATCAATTAACATGCGTTTTAGCAGTGGTCTCCAGCCTAGGCCCTGGAGGGCTAGATTCCTGCAGCGCCTAGTTCCAACCACAATTTGCCACGCCTGCTCCAGCTTATAAACCAAGTCCCTGATTGGCTTATTGGATACAGGATGGAACTAAACTAAACTCTTCAGGATCAGGGTTGGAGACCACTGCATTACACATACTTTAATTGCGTTGTACTTAATTCATATATATTAAGTATATACAATTATAATACAATACATATTTTCTGCAATTAAGTAAACCTTTTGGGGATTTAATGAAAAATATTATGACTTTATGCGTGACTGAAGTGCCCTTGATCAAGGCACCTGACCCCCAACTGCTCCCCGGGCGCTGCGGATAGGGCTGCACACTACTCTGGGCAAGTGTGCTCACTGCAACCTAGTGTGTGTGTTCACTAGTGTGTATGTGGTGTTTCACTGCACGGATGGGTTTAATACGCAGGTGAAATTTCCCCCTTGTTGGACTAATAAGGGTCACTTAACTTATTTATATTTCAATTTTTAACTTCAATTTAATGCAGTAAATTTCTCTATTATTTATCAAATGTTTCCTTTAATCTTGTTCTGTCATGCTCTGTTCACTGTTTAACATACACTGCACCACAAAACAATGAGAATCACCCATTTTAAGATGCTACTTGTGCCAATTTAATTAGAAGCTGTTCAGAGATTGGATAAAACCAGGTGTTTACTTGTACAGGCTGATCTAATAAACTGCAACACAAAAACCCATTATGGTTAAAATAGCTAATAAATAGGACACTAAATAAATAGCAGTAAATGCATCAAAAGCTGATCTTTAGCATTAAGATAACATGTTATACCATCTTTCATTAATTACATATACTGTTAATCGTTCAGCAGAAAACACAAGCTCAGAACATCATTTTGGTCTCAGTCATGACCAGTGGGATTAAATAGGTTAATTATTTCTCACTCGTAGCTCATTTAAACACGTAGAGAAATTCTGTTGATGAGTCGTAAATTTTTATTTATTTTTTTATTTTGGGATTTTTTTTCAGTTTTCTCCCCAGTTCAGTCATATCCAGTTCCACCCGCTAGTTAGGATTCAACCAATCACACAATACCACCAGCACTAGGAGGCCCAAAGCTAACACAAGCTTCCTCTGAGTCCTGTGAATGACGTTGCATCTGCCACTGAATGTCATTGGACAGATTAATGCGCTCAGAGGAGAACGAAGTCATTTGTTGGCATCAAAACATCAAAAAAGCGAGAGAAGTGCAGACACAAACCTGTCAAAGCAGAGTGTGAATCGAATGTAAATGCAGTTCCTTACGTAGTTAACTACGTAACTAATCATGTGTTTTTGTAATTGCATTTGAATAGTGTAGCAAAACATCAGTAGCGACTTTCAGCATGTAAGGGTTAACGCTTATGTGACGTTTGCGTTCAGATAAAGGGTCCACTGAGGCTCTGTGAGCTCACAAGCCCTGCAGGTTGTACAGGATGGAGTATTTAAAGACTTGCAGGAGAGCAGAGGGAAGAGGCAATGTTCTTAAAGCTCTGTATATATAGAACACAACCTCAATACAAACGACCCACATTCTACAGCACGCACAGAGAGGAAACTGGGTGTACAGGACACTCTGCATCACATGCACACACCCATACATAACACTATTACATAACAGTGTCAGAAACCACATAAACAAGTTTAGCATCCTTAAAAAGGCATTCCAGCCTAAAACTAGAGTTCAATATGTTAATTACTGTGTTTGTCTGTATTGTCTGGCACATCCTTCGGGCTCATTGACAGAATTCATGATTTAACAATGTTTTCATGTTCTCTCACTACAATACCCAGCATGCATTATGCTAATACAAAAGTTTGGGTGCCAAATAACATGTTTTGTTGATTGTGAAACACTATTTCTGTTGTATTTGATTTATAATTTCTGTTTATTTGCTGATTTTAACATATCAGGGAAGAAATAAAGCATAAATGTGGCCTTGAAGTTCTGGCACATTTTATACTGATTTATATGTTAATAAATACAACAAAACTAGAAATATTGTAACTCTTACCTCAGGCATTCAAACTAAATCATAAAGAAAACAGTTATTCTGTCTTTATTTAGCATAAAATAGACACCAGAGGCAAGTTTTTACCCTTTCAGTCATAGACAAGATGCCAAACTGGCATATCTTAATAGCCAGGTTGCTAACTTTAGCTGCTAGTTTGTTGTCCTTCTCACTGATGAGTCATTTCTGCCATTTGAGTAATCCATTCTCTCCACTTAACAGCAGTTATATGGCTTCAGTTAAATATGTAGTTTCCTTACAGTAACACTACCCATTTGTCTTCCTTCAGCATTCACCAGCTAATGGAAAAAAACATCAAAACAGTCCCCAAAGCAGGTTTTTAAAAGCTCCTCATACCTTCAAGATACATCATCAGAAGGGGTTTTTCCTTGTCTTTAAGTGAAATAATAATAAGCTAAACATATACAGAATCATCATTTATAGGGTCTTTGTATTGGGAGGTGTCTGTTCCAAACCCTAACCTCTAAATTTACACTTGTGATAAAATAATAATAAAAATAAAATGTAAAAAATAATAATTATTATAACTTTTGTATTTTTTTCTTAGTGTTTTTTTTAATCAGAGTGCGGTTGAAATATTTATCGTATTTATCATAAGATTTATATACTTTATTTTAAGTTTTTTAAAAAATAATAATAAAAAAGGGGTTGGACCAGAAAATCTCATTCTAGAGCTGCAAAAAGGATGTTTACAACACATGTAGCCATGGTTACATTTTTTATATTGCCTACTTGGCATGCAAGTGTGTGATGATTTAGACATGCACTAAAAAATGTGGATGTGGTTCCCTCACATGCAGTCGTTTAGTACGGTCTTTATAGGCCTTTTTTAACTGAACTGTGTATTACTGTGGCTAAATTTTGCCATGCTTACACATAAACCTAACCCTGATCTTAACCTCAGTGACCAAAGAAAATCTTTGAGCTATTTTAGCTTCTACAATAAAAAAAAACAACATTTGTGTATAAATGTATTTTTTTCATGGGCACCTGCCAAGTGTCCCCACAGAATGAAACCTCTGATGTTTTTCTGTCATCTTAAGGACATTCGCTCCCCGCAAAATGAGCTACAGCGCACACATGCACAGACACATTTATCAGTCTGGTGGGTCCGCCCTTAAGAATGATCTAATGGTTAATTCCAGGTGCTACTTCTTTTTCAGGTCACCTTTCGCTGCCGTGACGGACTACTCAGTGACCAGGAACAACGTCATCCAGCTGTGTCTGGAGCTCACCACCATAGTACAGCAGGTAAGAGAGTGCAGGTGTTCTGACTTTGTAGGGAAAACAGGAGTACATTACAATATCTGGAGGAACAAAACGATTTTTTGTAATTTTTTGTCTTTTTTTATTAAATTTTATGATTCTTTTTTTAATGAAAGAATAAAAACATTGTTTTTGGTTACTGAGATGAAGGTTAAGTTTAGGTTTAAGCAGAGGGGAACCTCAAGGTCTGCTAGGCATTCGCATAGGCTTTCAAGGCTTTGTTCCAAGTATTGCTATTGCATCGCTCTTATTTTATTGTAAAGTTTTGGTTGGATTGAAAAAAGGTTTAAAATCTTAAAATGCCCAATAGAAAACTGTCCAATCTGAATTTCTTTCCGCATGGTATCTCCACAGGTACAGCTAATTCTTCCATTGGTTAGGACTTCACAAACTGAACAGAAGGCTTTACATGTTACATTTAGGGCATAACAGTGGAATTAACCACCTAAAATCCCAGGCTTTTTACATACTAAGGCTTATTATTCAGTAGCTATAGTGACTCCAATGCAAACTGGCTGAGCTATTCTTAGGTTATAGAATTATGCAATAAAATCTTGCACCTACTGGTCCTGATCTTTTAAGGGGTTAACCAATTGTGTTTTGTTTTACAACCAATTTTTGTGAGAAAAATTGCAGAAATGCCCTTTAATAGAAATAGAATAGAAAATATGCCTTTTACAAGTCCTAGAAATGTCACTGGAAAAGAAATGGAAATGAAAAACAGTCTTCTACAAGCTTCACTTATCTGTGTTCAAACTATCTGCCATAATACTAACATATAATTAGAAATCTCATAGGGGTGCTAGCAGAAATTTGCATGAGAGTAGAGTTGTTGTATTGCACCTATTGTAAATGAGAGAGCTTGATTTTTGCCAATTTCTAGCCCTTTGTGGCCCAAACTGAAGGCCTGGCTGTAATAGTCATGGTTCACCACTGTTTTTCAGGCTGTTATTATGTGGTAATTAAAGGAAATTAAATTGGCAGGATACATCCATCCTGAGATTGTATTCTGTTTTCTGTTTTTAAGACTGTACCTGTATTAAGCTCTGGTCTTGGCCCAGACAGATTCCATTAAAACAGAGAGAAAACCTTTCAGCAGTCAATGCACACCTGACACTGATGAGTGAGAGAGCAGCTTTATTTCATATATCAATATGAGAATATATTTTGTTTAATTTGAGAATGGCGTGAGCCATCCTCTCCCGTTTTCTCCTCCTCCGTTCCCTCGCTCCCGCCGTGCAGAGTGAGTATCATTTGCTTGGCTGTGTGTAAAGTGATCTGCTCTCTTCCTCCGCTGCTCTCCTGGCCCTGTAACACCGTTAGGGATGTAACAGTGGTATGAATGTAAGCGTGTAATGGATGGAGCAGTGCATGGTGGGTGACGTAGTCCTGCGGGAGTGGACTGTGTGTGAGTGTGAGCAGAAGTAGGCCAGCAGCTCGGCGCTTGTTAGAGACACACTGAAGCGGCAGGTGGGAGGAGAGCAGGAGGAGCTGCTGGGGCTGGAGCAGCTGGGGTGGCAGAGCAGCAGAGCTGAGAGAGGAATGTGTGTATCTGGTTATTGGAAAAGAAAACTGACAAAGTAGTTGATGCATATTGGAACTATAATGTGTGATGACACTATAGAAGCAGTACTATGTGTGTGTTCACATGATAATTAGTGGATTTTCTCATATAATGTATACATTTTTTTCATGTACAGTACTGTGCAAAAAAGTCACAGACAACCATTTATTTATTTGATCTCCGGCCAAAACCTCCATTAAATGTGTTATTTACAACCCCATTTCCAAAAAAGTTGGGACGCCGTGCAAAATGTAAAGAACAAAATGCAATGATGTGCAAATCATTTTAACCCTATGTTTAATTGAAAATGGAACAAAGACAACAAACCAAATGTTGAAACTGAGAAATTTTATTGGTTTTTGAAAAATATTTTCCCATTATGAATTTGATGCCAACAAACGTTGCAACAAAAGGCTCGTAAAGTTGTGTAGTGCTAAAAAACAATTGATTGGCAACAGGTCAGTAGCATGATTGGGTATAAAAACGCATCATGAAAAAAGCACATGGCATGTGCTGCCATCCAGACGACGTCTTTTTCAGGGCAGGCCTTGCTTATTTCTCAATTTCAAAATTTGATATGTTGTCTTTGTAGTATTTTCCTTTAAAAGTATGGCGTATATGATTTGCGTACCATTGCATTTTATTTTAATTTACATTCTGCACAGCATCCCAACTTTTTTGAAAACGGGGTTATATTTATCGGCATCAGGAAAAAGGCAGAAGACTTAAAAATACAGAGAAGCCTCAAAAACTAAATATAATGTCATTTATTTCAGCATTCGGCGCGTCTACACTTTACCTTTATTACAGCCTCCATTCTTTTCATTAGACTCACTTTCAGTTTTTCAAAGAAATCTTTTCCAGAGTTCCAAAGTTCAGTCTTAGAAGTTGGTTGCATTCTCTGCTGCACAAAATCCCAAACAAATTCAGTGATGTTGAGGTCTGGACTCAGTGGTCAGTGCATTTTTTTGAGAAAACCAACTACACGTCTCGCAGTGGAAGGATGGACAGAAACACCTGTAGATGTTTTCAGATCTGAAGCAGTTTGATTTTCTCCTTTCTCTCAAAGACGAAAGCTGTAAGTGCTGTTTATCTGATGGGGACAGTGTTGGTGTCCACCAGGTCTTGTTGTTAGGAGTTACATTTTCTCTGCATCTTTTTAACTACAATTTTGAAAACTTCTGTTTTGTTACTTATTTTCCTTTGACTTTCATCTTGTGGTTTGCCCTATAATACCTATTTAAAAAGTGGATTATTGTTTTTTTTATTTTAGACACTAAAAGGCTAAAGAACCCATAAAGAATGACGCTAACTATATAACTAAACCTACTACTGAGTTGAATGTCTAATAAGCGTCTTAACACATACTTTTCATGGGTCCCAACCCCTCCAATCGACCTGCCGACTACTGGTTACCTCCTGAATAAATCGTAATGATTAATAACTTGATAATAAGGCTGCAGTTTAAGGGGTTAAATGGCACCGCTGGGTAACAGGCTGTATATAGCTGACTCGTGCTGAGATCAGAAGGTCATAGAGAAAGGGAGCAGAATTGAAAGGATAAGGCTGGCTTTAACCGGCAGAACCCCAAGGCCTCTTCTAATCCAGCGCTTAATCCAGGCCAGATTACAGTGCAGGAGGCCCAGCCGCGGCTCTAATCTGAGCTAAGCCTGCAGGGCAGGCCAAGAGGGCTTCGCTCTTTTCTGCACAGATCATACAGGACCACAGCCTTTCTCTCTCTCCCTCTCTCCCTCTCTCCCTCTCTCTCTCTCTCTCTCTCTCTCTCTCTCTCTCGGTACCTCTCTCTATCTCTATCTTTTGCCTCTCTCTCTATACCTCACTGTCTTTCTCTCTTTACCCCTCTGTCTTCTCTCTCTTACTCTCTTTCTCCCTCTCTCTCACTTTTCTCTCTCTTACTCTCTTTCTCTCTCCCTCTCTCTCTACCTCGCTCTCTCTTTCTCTCTTTATCCCTTTCTCTCTCCTTCTCTCTCTTTACTTCTCTCTCACTTTCTCTCTCTTTACCTCTTTCTCTATACCTTGCTCTTTTTCTCTTAACCCCTCTCTTTCTCACTCTCTTAACCTTTATATCTCTCTCTTTCTCTCTTTACTCCTGTCTCTCTCTCTGTCTCCCTCTCTCTCTCTCTTTCTCTCTCTGTCTCTTTACCACTCTCTCTATACCTCGCTCTCTTTCGCTCCTTACCTCTCGCTCTCTCTCTCTCTCTCTCTCTCTCTCTCTCTATCTCTTTACCTCTCTCTCTATACCTCACTCTTTCTCTCTTTACCCCTCTCTCTTTACCTCTTTCTCTACCTCTCTTTATCTCTTTACCTCTATCTCTATACCTCACTCTTTCTCTCTGTTTAGCCTGCTCTCTCTCTCTCTCTCTTTCCCTCTCTCGCTGTCTCCCTCACATTCAGACTACCTCTCTCTCTGTGTCTCTCTGTCTCTCTCTCTTTACCTCTCTCTCTCTTTCTCTTTACCTCTCTCTTTCTATATATACCCCTTTTTCTCTCTTTCTGTCTCTCTACCTCTCTCTACCTTTCTGTTTCAAACCATGAACCGGCGACAGGGTGCTGGGTGTGCAGGGTTCATCGATGCATGAGGGCAACAAATGCTGTTCCGTCTGGTCCAACAGAACCGACAGAAGGGCAACTGTGGCACAATTCACAGAGATTTTTAATGAAGGTTATGGGAGGAATGTGTCACAACACATGGTGCATCTGCTGTGTATTGGGCTGCATTGTCGAGACCAGTCAAAGTGCCCATGCTGACCCCTGTACACTGGCGACAGTGCCTGCAATGGGCACATGAGCTTATGAACTCCACCTTAAAGCAGTGGAAAAAGGTCAACTGGTCTGATGAGTCCTGCTTTTCTTTTATATCACTTGGACAGCCGGGTATGTGTGAAGTGTTTACCTGATGAAGTGATGGCACCAGGATGCACTGTGGGAAGAAGACAAGCCATTGGAGGGGGTGTGATGCTCTGGGCGATGTTCCATTGGGAAACCCTGGGTCCTGGGTTCATGTGGACGCCAGTTTGACAGGTGCCACCTAGAGACAGGTGCACTGATACCGATACTTGATCCTTTAGTATCGGCCGATACCGATACTAACTCTATCTAACGTAACTCTCATATAAGTCCTGATAATTATACAGTTACATTTTTAAAATATTTTATTTTGGTGAAATGTGTTCTGCATCACAAATAAAACACACTCGTCTTGGCTAGATGCCATTTCCTTGTTGGATTATGTTTATTAGATGCTTACTGTGATTTACCGTGTGTATTTAATATTTACTATTATACAATTGGTAATAAGAAGCATATATAACAACTTACGTAAATGTAATATATCTTTATTGTGCAGAACAGTTTAAAACAGAGCTGTACAGTATAGAGATAAACCTGTGGTGTTTACACA